TAGTCGGTGTTTGGATCATAGTTATCAACTTTCTGTGAATAAACTATGTTTCTTTCTATGAATAGACTATCCCTCCCAGTTTTTATTCCACTGGAGTTAACTGCCTGTTCCCACCTCACCCCAGTTTGCCTTATTTTATCTTTTTTTCTTTCTTTCTTTCTTTTTTTTGAGACAGGGTCTTGCCATGCAGTTCAGGCTGTCCTTACACTCATTACAGCCCAGGATGGTCTTGAACTCAAGGCGATCCTCCTGCCTTAGCCTCCTATGTTCTGGGATTACAGGCACAAACCACCACACCCAGCTTGTTTTATCTATTCTTACTCAAACTTTTAGTTACTTGTCTAATACCTGCAGTTCAAGTATTACAGCAAATTCTAGCTTCCTGAATGAGTCTCTCTCAAGAGTTTTCTCTCCTGCCACAATTCCGAAGGGGATCCTCTACAATTAAGGTACAGTTTATCACTCTGCAAATATGCTCTTTCCTGGGCTATGTGAAGGACATCCTCCATTCTGGGGCATCTTTGCAAGTCTGAAAGTCTTCCAGCCTCACACTTAAATTTGTCTAGACTCAGAACTATAGGCTGAATCAGTTTCCTTCAGAATACTGAAGACATTTCTCCACTGAGTTCTTTTTGTTGTTGTTGTTGTTTTGTTTGTTTGTTCATTCTGGTACCGGGGATTGAGCTCAGGACCTTGAGCTTTCGAGACAGGCGCAGTGCCACTGAGCTAAATCCCCGGCCCTTCACTGAGTTCTAACTTGGAGTTGTAAAGTGCAATGCCATTCTGACTTTTGAACATTTGGATGAGACCTGGTTTTTCTCCCTAGAACCCTAGATCTTTGTTTCAGGGCACTAAAATTTCATAATGTGCTTTGTTGTGAATCTACTTTTATCCACTGTGCTGAAAATTGTTGGTCCAGAAACACATCCTTCAGTTGGGAGAGTTTCTTGAATTATTTTACTAGCAATTCCCTTGGATACTAGTCCTGTGCAGTGCTCACTGTGCAGGGCTCCTCTGCTTTACAGTCTCCAGAGAAAAAATCACTAGTCTTTGCCAGTATGGAAGAGAGCTGGAATTGAACTGCATCTGAAAACGGCTTTCAAGCAATCCTCCTTAACCAAGCCCTTCCCATTCACCCTCCCTCTGAGATTAGCTGATACCATCAATCCACATCTTTCAGAAATTTTGCAATGTATTTCCTGTTGGTTCCCAGCTTTCTTCTCCCCGCCCCTGTTTTTTTTTTATTTTTGGGACCGGGGATCAAACTCGGGTCCTTGCTCTTGGGAGGCAGACGGAGAAACCACTGAGCTAAACCCCCAACTCCCCCCGCCCGGGTCCCTGTTCTTAACTGTCATTTTCTTGGGACTGCTAAATTTTTTACCACTCAACGTGACCTTCTAACTTTCAAAAGTTTGCAGGGCCAGGAATTTAGCTCAGTGGTTCTGCCGCCTACCCCGTAAGCACACGTTAGGCAAATGCTGTACCAATGAGCTACACTCTCAGCTTCCCAATTTTTTCCCTCCAATGCTGAGGACTGAACCTAGGGCTTTGTGCATAGTTTGTGCAAGCACTTTACCACCGAGTTATACCTCTAGCGTTGGACTTTTTAAATCCCTTACTAGTTTTAATGAGTTTGAGAAGACAGCAAAAACATACATGTATACCATTCTCTACCTAGAATTCAAATAAAGCTGTCTTCTCATATATTAAACTTCTGGCTATAGTTTCTCTCACAAAGACAAAAGTGCTTCTCAGGCTCAAGGCTCTTCTTTTTCTTAATCAGCAAATGAATGATATACAATTGAGACCTTGTCACAAAACTGAAGAGCACACTAAGATCCTTCAAAAAAGTCCTTTGCTGGTGAGATCAGATTTGAAGAGCTTTCAGGTTCACAGCTCAAGAGTAGCACTGTCCAACAGAACTTTCTGTGATGACAGAAACTGTCTCCTGATTTGATCAGTACAGCAGCCACTAGACACATGTGGCTACCTGTGCAATGAACTGTGGCTTGTGTGAGTGAAGAACTAAATTTTTAATTTCATTTCATTTTAACTAACTTAAGAAACCATGCGGCTATTTAACAGTTAGAGGCTACCACAGTAGAGCACAAAGCTCTGGAGAAGATTCTTTTGTGCTCAAGTATTAAAATTAAATCCTCAACATGTTATTTCTCCAATGCCTTCTAAAAATACCCAACAGACTGAGATGCTTTTTCTAGGATTCAGTATAATTCAACTTTAAACAAATTACCATCCCTTTGATAGGAGATCCTCACTAAATATGTTTACACTAAGTGTTTAGGGTAAGTGGTCATTCATGACCTTTGGCCCACACATAAAAATCAACTGATTTCCTCACTCCAGAGATCCAAGTGAGCAAAGCTGTCTGATACCGATATCTTCTTCCCATAATACTGTCTTTTCACTCTAAAACATAGCTATAAGCAAGATTGAGTGGAGGAAAAAGGTTTTTGCAAATCCTTCCAAAACTACAAGGCACCCACCAGATTACAACACTTAAAGGTGTCAATACTCTTCCAAGGACAGACAGCTCTTTTGTCTAACCCTAGACCTAACAATAACCACCCACGTAGAAGCGCAACTTTATCTCACTGAATCTTCACAACAGCCCTATAAAACAGGTGTTATCTCAATTCCATTTATACTGAGACGTGGCAAGGTTGTCACTTGTCTAGTGTCTCAAAGAAATCGACAGGAAGGGACTCAAACCCCAATCTGCCTGAATCCAAAGACAGCGCTCTAAGTCCCCGCACATACTAGATGCTTGAAATACACTTGCTGAATATAAAGTTTAAAGTAGACTTGGCGTTGGCCCGGAGCTCGATGGAAAAATGGAGCGGAACCTCCAAAAGGCGAACTTCTCCAACTATGAGGTCAGGGGAAGGCCCCGAGGGCTCCAGCTGCTGAAGCCGGAGCCTGGACTCCTCGCGCTAAAGTAGGTCTGCGCCGCTCGGGCTGGGCCGGTTCGGGAGCCCGGAGGAGCCGGCCCAAAGCGGCCTCCGGGCCGCGCCCTGCGCAGCCGTCAACCCCCGTGCCTTCACCAAGCGGTCCGGCCCCACTACCACGGGCCGCGCCCAGTCGCTGGTCTCGTTGGCCCCGCAGGATCCCGCCTCACCTGCGTGTCAGCCGCCATCCTGCCGGCGTTGACTCCGGAACCCTTTCCGGAGCACTTCCGGGTCACAGCGGGACCCACGCGGCAGAGCGAGACCTGGAGTCCGCTGCGTCCTGGCCAGGGCCTGGCGCCCCCGGGCGGGACGGCGGGTGCTGCAGCCCGGCTGGGGGTACAGCCTCTGTGTCGCGGGTTGCCAGGGCCCGGCCCTTCCCAGCCGATCCTCCAGAATAAGGGTCTGAGGATTTGTAAGGTGGTGAGACCCCCCCTGCAGCCCCTGACCCACTTGGAGCCTGCAGTTCCTGGCAGGACGCCTGCCATGTCATGTGGTCTTTTTCTTAAAACTTCATTCTTAGAGAACCAGTAAGTATTGCTTCCTAGAACACAGGAATTTAACTAGATAAAAGAGAACTAATCTTTTGTCCTTAAGGAGTTTGCAGATCAGTGGGGTATGACTTCGAGAGGGTTAGAAAACGGGTGTTAACCCATCAGGGAAACACGCAGGAGCTGAGAAGTTTGTCTGGGGGAAATGATGGATGCTCAGAGCTGGAGTATAAACCAAGACAGAAAGAACCACAAGGTCTGTGGAGCGTCGTCTGAATTTTATTTTGTTAACGTGGCAGCTGTGTAGACTAGAGAATGAGGTTTCAAATTTAGTTGTTGTCCTTTACAGTGGCCATCAAGCCCCCCACACTCACCCACCACGGATCGAACACGGGGCGCCTTGCATTGCACTTGCCAGGCTGGCGTAACCCCAATGAGCTACATCCCCAGCCCCAGCCTTCAAACTTTTTTTTGTACCAGAGATCGAACTCAGGACCTTGAGCTTGCGAGGCAGGCGGCGGAACCAGAGCTAAATCCCCAGCCGTCGGCCTTCAAAGTTTTGACAGGCCTCCTTAAAATACATCATGATCCAGCAAAAATCTGTACGTTAACTTTAAGTTTCCTAACAAAATACCTACCCTTTCAGTAATTGTTTTCTTTTTAAATAGTCACCGTCTAGTTACGAAGTGGTTCAGTTTGAAAAACCCTACGCATGGAGTGCCTCTCTCAACTGACACTAAACCTCAAAAGTATTTGAGAAACCCAGCCAGTTGGCTGGATGGCCAAAGTAAAAGGTTTTCCTCACCTGCAATTTTGCTTTCCAGTTGGTTAACCACTGTCTGAAAATTCAATGAATGCTAGGAAAAATTTGTTTTAACTTGCATGCTGTTTGTTGTCTTGCACCTTTCCAATTGGCGCACACATCTTCCTTCCTCCAATGTATCCACACTGCATAAGCTACCTTAGCAGCCACCTTATTTATCAGACCAACTGCAGTATTAACCCTTGTTAATGGCTTCAATTTTATTAGATTTTATTGGTAATCTCTTGCTATGCCTACTTTATACACTTTATGATAGACATGTATAGGAAATAACAGATCACCCCTCTGTACTTCAAGGATTCCACATCTAGATTCAACCAACTGCAGATCAATACTGTTTTGGGGGGAAAAACCCAATCTATACTTAATATGCCCTAAATAATACATTGTAGCTATTTACACTGTACTAAGTTATTACCAAGTAACCTAGGGGTAATTTGAAATATACAGAATATGCTTAGGTTATATGCAAATGATACACCATTTTATGTTACAGGACTTGAGCACTGACTGATTTTCATATCTGCGGGGGTTCTGAAACCTCTCCCACAGGGACCCTTGTATATGATCTGAACATATCAAAGTACTACTGAACATTTATAAGTTGCTAGAAGACCAATAGCTTCATTTGGATACCGATCACAAAATACCAACCCCAAATAAGCTCATATTTTTGCTTTGTTTCTAGCATGAAGCACTATAAAATATACAAATGAGTCCAGAAACTGATGAATTACGCCTTTATTCCTTGTTTTGCCAATCAGGCAGGCTGAGTAGTTTGCTTTTTGGTGATTAGTCAAAGAGACCAAATCCCATATCCTCATCAGACTCCTCCGACTCTTCCTTGGCTTCAACCTTGGCTGGGGCAGCCGCAGCAGCAGGAGCAGCGGTGTTGCCAGCAGTGACAGGGGCAGCAGCCACAAATGCAGATGGATCAGCCAAGAAGGCCTTGACCTGAAGGAATAAGTTAGTGATCAAAGTGGTCATCCACACCCCTCTGCCACCTAAGACCTTTGTACAAAGATATCCAAGCCCATGAAACATTTCCTGTGTAAAGTGACCCAGCAGGAGAGTTTAAACATGGTCTGGGGGGGCAGGTCCTAGCTCTTGCATATAGCCCCCTCTTTGGGTCTCTTGTCATTTCTAAAGAGACCACACACTTCTCCATTCCCCCAATCTCTTCTGCTACACAAAATATGAGTAGCCAGGTATGGTGGCACATGCCTGTAAGCCTGGCAGTCTGGGAGGCTGAAGCAAGAAAAGTTCAAGCCCATCAGGGGCAATGTAACACCTTACTGAGAGAAACTCTGTCTCAAAACTTTTTTTTTTTCATTTTTATTGTGTCCTAGGCATGAAACAGCTCTGGCCACCAACCGGGCATCAAGCTAGGATGAACAAGGGACTGTCCTTTGCCCATTGCTGGGGCGGGGGGGGGGGGTTCAAAATTTTAAAAATTAAGTATTTCAATCCCTGGAACCTTCATACCCCAAAAAGTACTAACTCAGGATACCACTAATCATCCTGCTGTCAGGCCCACTGTGGTCAGAGTAAGGACATACCTTTTCAGCAAGTGGGAAGGTGTAATCAGTTTCCACAGACAAGGCCAGGACCCGCTTGTACCCATTGATGATAGAATGAGGCACTGATGCAACAGTTGGGTAAGCAATCTGCAGACAAACACTGGCAACATTGCGGACACCCTGTGAGAAAGAAAATTATACTTTGATGGTGTTTATATAAAAAAACCCACTATTTTGTACAAAATATAAACTTAGCAACACTGAGTTCCATAAGAGAAAAACTTGAACAGGTTCATAACAGGGCTGTAATTTGTATGTCTTGTTGCTGAGTGGTTTGAACCACCGATACAAGCCACCAGGAACATGCTAAACATTCCCAGAGAATAATTTCAACCACTATTGGACATTTAGAAAATTAAATAAAGTGCCAGGTATTACAGATGCATCCCTATAATCTCAGCACTCAGCAGGTTCAAAGACAGTGAATGTGAAGGCAGCCCAGACTACAAAGTGAGTCCCTGTCTCAAAAACAACCAAGTAGGGGCCAGGGATTTAGCTCAGTGGTGCTGCCCCCTGCTTCACAAGCGCAAGGTCCCGAGTTCAATCCCCGGTACCAAAAAAAAAAAAAATCAGGTAAATAAAGCCAATTAAGAGTACAGTCTTCTCCCCATATCCATGGGGGATTGGTTCCAGGACTCCCCAGATATCAAAATCTGTGAACGCTCAAGTCCCATGGTAGTACTTGAACATAGCCTATGCAGTCCTCCAGTATACCTTAAATTATCTCTAAACTTCTAATAAACCCAATACAATATAAATAGTAAGTTATAACTGACACTGTACTGCTTATTAGGAAATGACAAAAAATGTTTACATATTCAGTACAATTTTTTGATCTGAAACAGGTTAAATCCATAGATGTAGAACCCATAGATATAAAAGGATAACTATATATATATAAAATACTGACTTTTTAATTTGTCCACAAAAAAATCTTACTTCTTCTATCACCATTATTCTTACTTTTAATGATGCCAAAATTAGGTAAGACAATCTCAAAAACATTCAATCCTCTCGAGAAATGGCACCTTGGGGCCGGGGATTTAGCTCAGTGGTTCCGATGCCTGCCTCACAAGCACAAGGTCCCAAGTTCAATCCCCAGTAACTGCCCCCCAAAAGAAATGGCACCTTGGGCTGGGGATTTAGCTCAGTGGCACCATTACCTACCTCGTAAGTGCCAAGGTCCTGAGTTCAATCCCCAGTACAAAAAAAAAAATAAAGCCACCTGGCAGTGTTAACATCTACATACTTAACTGTATTTACCCTTTGATTCATACTGAAGACTTATTGATGGCAGGTCCTAGAATAACCCTTACTACATACCCAGCACTTTTCTAAGGATTTATATTCATTAAATCCTTAAAAAACCTTTTAAGTCTGTCATTTCACAAGAGAGGAAATGGGGGGCGGGGATTAAACTACTGCTTGCACTTGATTACTCCACTAGTTTAGGCAGTGCAAACAGGACTCAAGCCTAGGCTGGAAAGCACGTACCTCCAGAAAGCGAGAATGCAGAGCTTCCTCTGTAATGTCAAGCACTTCAGGGTTGTAGATGCTGCCATTGTCGAACACCTGCTGAATGACCAGCCCAAAGGAGAATGGGGAGATGTTCAACATGTTCAGGAGGGTGGCCTCGCTGGCTCCCACTTTGTCTCCAGTCTTAATCAGCTGTACATCACTCTGAAGAACAAGATTAACGGCAGGCAGTTAACACCTGGACATCCAGAAGGCCTATGGCCTCCACGTGATGTCCCTACGTGCCCAGCTAACACTGGCAAGCCAGGTCCACTCACCAGGATTTCAATGGTGCCCCTGGAGATTTTAGTGGTGATGCCCAGAGCCTGGAAGAAGGAGGTCTTCTCAGGTCCCAGACCAGTGTTCTGGGCTGGCACAGTGACTTCACATGGTGCAATGGCACCAGCACGGGCAGCAGCTGGCACCTGAACAGACCATGAATAAGAAAAATCTTCAGACACAACCTAATAATGGCCAATTTTGCTTTAAAGAGCCAAAACAAATTCTCTATCCAATACAGATTTCCCCCCTACCTTATTGGCCAACAGCATATCCCTGATCTCAGTGAGGTCCTCCTTGGTGAACACAAAGCCCACATTCCCCCGGATATGAGGCAACAGTCTGCGGAGAGAAGTTTACAGGAGCTATCACCTAAAAAGCACCATTCTTCTCCAGGTAAAGGGAGAAGGGCAGCAGGAAACAAAGCCACCAGGGGCACTGACTGACTTCTCCAGAGCTGGGTTGTTTTCCAGATGCCCTCGGATGGCCTTTCGCATCATGGTGTTCTTGCCCATCAGCACCACAGCCTTCCCTCGGAGGGACATGCGGATCTGCTGCATCTGCTTGGAGCCCACATTGTCTGCTCCCACAATGAAGCATTTTGGATAATCATCCAAAAGTTGCTATAAAAACAAGCCACAGGGGCCGGGGATTTAGCTCAGTGGTTTCGCTGCCTGCTGCACAAGCGCAAGGACGCAAGTTCAATCCCCGGTACCAAAAAAACAAACACACATAAACAAGCCACAAACAAAGTTTAGCAGGAAAGGGAAAAAAACATCAGCAGAAACTAAATCCCACAACCAGTTGGGCTCCTCTCACTGGGGCCACCTAACTTGTAATAGTGTCAGATTTGACTCTGACCTGCTTGGTAGGTATGCATGGTGAAAACAGATTTCTATGCTCAATCAAAAAAAAGATTGAATTTATCAGAAATGAGGCATCACTTCTCATTCACTAAGATGGCCACATTAACAGGAAATAAAACTACTCCAAATAAACCTGTCAGGGGAAGCAACAGATTTATAGCACTTAAAATACAATATGAAGCAAATACAGCTAATTAATTGCAGACTCTAGACTGTAGCTCTATGGATTTTCTTTAAAAAATCATGTCTGAAAATGTGCAAGATAAATGACACTATAGGGCCGGGGATTTAGCTCAGTGGTTCCTCCGCCTGCCTTGCAAGCGTAAGGTCCTGAGTTCGATCCCCATTACCAAAAAAAAAAAAAAAGTGACACTATAAACTACTGATGAAGCTCTACAAATTAGTCTAATTCCTGTAGTGCAGTATGTAGTGCCTTTCTGGTTAAGATACGCCTCCATTGGGCAGTGAGTCAATTCTTGTCTCAGACCTTCCCAAAGACAAAGGTAGGATTGCAAAACTACCATCTGTACAAAGATGAGACACCTGAACTGCCTGAGCCTGTGTATTTCTAACAGAGAAGAAATCTACCTCCGGGAACTGTTAAAATTGCAGCAGCTTTTCCCAAAATGGCCTAACTCTGGCTGGCATCAAAGACCACACTTGGTGATTGTCCCTATTAGCGCCTGGGGCAGAAGCCGCTGGTCAGCCACAACGCCCTCCTCACTTACGACGATCTTAACGAAGTAGTTGGATTTCCAGGTCGCCCTGTCTTCCCTGGGCATCACGGCGGTGCGTCAGGGATTGCCACGCAGGGTTTAAAGACGATGTCACTAATGAGAGAAAGGGAGCTCAGGGGTGGTCAATCGACACCAGACCTCGATGCAAGGCCTGCACTGACCTGGCCCAGCGCCCGCTGCCCGGGCCTGGGCTGCCACCGCCACCAATAGTGAAGCACAAGCCGCCGCCCAAACATCAAGCGGGGCAAACGAAAGCCCCGTGGTCTCCAAATGGCGGCAACTCCACTCTCCCGGGTTCCCATAAACCCCATGCTTCCCGCCGCCAACAACAGGACAAATGACTCGACACACAAACCTCTCACGAGGACGCCTGGAAAGAGAAGGGCCACGGTCCGGCACGTGTCTTTTATAGCAGATCGAAGGAGCCAATCAGAAGCCGCAGACAGCACTCCTGCCTATTAGTTGGCGCCGAAATGATATAGGCAGCCATTGGGTGATATCGCTGCCACTCCAGCCAACAGGAAGCTGACTTTAGGTAGGGTAGTTAAAAAGAAAGGTGATGGCTTGCTTTGGAGGCGCTCTCTCACAGCTGCTGCCCCTGCTGGCCTGGAGCTGCCTTCCTCTACTAGCAGCAAACTATGTAGTTTGACGAGGAGCTGAGAAGTAATTACAAATGCCTTAGAAATAGAGTGGTATTTTATCTCCTCTACTTTGTTCTTCTCCCTACCAAAACAGAGGGATCCTGTAAACCTAAATCTTCATAGGCTCAAAACTTTTCAAACCACTTACTTCCCTTGGAGTAAAAGCCTAAAACTTAGACTGCCTATAAGGTTGTACATGATCTGTACCCCATAATCTCTTATTTTCCTAGGACACATTTCCTCCCAGCCAAACTATACTCTTCGCTGCTTTTCCAGAGTATGCCCCTGTCACTTTAGGGCATTTGCTGGCTCTTCCCTCTTCCTGGAATCCTCCTTGCCAATATACTTACCTAAGTAACTCGTCTTCAAGTCTTGGTGTAAATGTCATCTGCTCAATGAGGCCTTCCCAGGGTTTCCTATTTAAAAAAAAAACAAAAAACTTTTGGGGGGCCCAGGGATTTAGCTCAGTGGTTCCACTGCCTGCCAAAATTTTTTGGTACCAGGGATCGAACTCGGGACCTTGCACTTAACAGGCAGAGGCGGTGCCACTGAGCAAAATCCCCAGCCCTTCTCTATTTAAAATTATTAGAAGACTCATTCCCACTCCCCCTCTGTCCATCTCCCTCATATACTTGTAAACCTTCCAACTCACCATATAATTTTTTAATTATTGTTTGCTTTTCTCTGCAAGAATGCAAACTCCACAAGGGCAGAGGTTTTTGTCCTGTTCCTGGTACATAGTAGGCATATAACAAATAATTATTGAATGAATGATAAAGCAGGATTTACAGCCGGATGACTTTGTCCTGCCACTTGCTACTGTCTTCTTAGGAAGTAATTTCAACTTGTGGACCCTTTGTTTCCCCTTCCTTAGCTGTAAAATGGAGATAATTATCCACACTCTATAGTTGTGATGAGGATTAATTATGCATTAAGATTTAGTACAGTTCCTAGTGCAACCACTGTGGAAATCAGTATGGAGACACCTCAAAGAACTAGGCTTAGAGGTCCCATTCGACCCAGCTATCCCCCTGCTGGGTATCTTCCCAAAAGAATTAAAAGAATCTTACCACAGGGATATATGTGCACCCATGTTTATAGTGGCACAATTTATAATAGCAAAAGCTTGGAAACAGCCCAAGTGCCCATCAACTGGAAACTGGATAAAGAAGATGTGGTTTTTTTATAAAATGGATTACTACTCAGCCATAAAGAACAAGAAACTAGAGTCATTTATAGCTAAATGGATGCATATTGAGGCCATCCTCTTAAGTGAAATAAACAGGACACACGTGTGTAAATACCGAATAGTTTCTCTAGTGTGAGAGACTGAAAGTGTAATTAAGGATACACACGGATGCAATGGCCTAATAACATATTTCTCGGATTGTGTTTCCATCGCGTGTCATATGACTGTATCGAAATTTAAATTAGGGAGAAGTTTGGCTTATGTGGAGTCTGCTAACTAACTGGAGTTTTTTTCCAGATCATTATTTGTTCAATGTTGGTTTGGGGGATCTTTCTGAAACAAATCACATCCTTTGGTGTCTTGTTGGTGCTTTTTTAAATTATATGGAAAAATGTTTAAGTGCTTTTCAGTTTTGTTTTGGTGAGTTCTACTGTATTTGAATATTATTGTAGTTTTTCCCCCCTTGCATTGTTCTTCTTTGAATGGTTTTAATTTTTTATATGTGTGTGTGTTTGATAATAAAGTTATTTTTAAAAAGATTTAGTACAGTTCCTGGATAGAGGAGAAAGTCAATAAATGTTATTTTCTTTTGTTTTATACATTCATTCAACATGTATTTGAATAATTGTGCTATATCAATACATTTTTAATTAAATCTCTGAAGGCTGAAGGGTGTTTCTCCCTATCTTCACCTTTTTCATTTGTACAAGTTATAAATTACCAGTGAGTTTGTCTGAACCATACGTGACTAACAGTTGGCTGTTGGGCTGTTGGGCTGTTGGCTGTGGTGCTGCCACCTGCCTTGCAAGCATAAGGTCCTGAGTTCGATCTCCAGTACCCCCCCCCCCAAAAAATGAGTTGGCTGTTACTGTATGTGGTCCCAAGTTCTATTTATCAAAACTTTCGCTCAGCAGAACTGGAAACTCTAATATTCCTGCCCTGTGTCAAATTTTGTTACAGTCCATCTTTGGACAGTAACTGATGAAGCTTTTTTTCACATCATGGTTAGCAGAAACTATTCCCAAAGTTGACTAAATACCAAAGTCCTAGGAGTTTTATAAAAGTATAAATTTCCATGTCTTAGTAGGTTTCTACAGGAATGGGACCCATGGATTCTTTTAGGAGAAGGGTTCTTCTTTGTGGTACCGGGGATTCATCCCAGTGCCCTTGCACTGAGTTACAATCCTAGCTTTTTTTTTTTTTTTATTTGAGACAGGGTCTCCAAAGTTACTAAATTGCCCAATCTGGAGTTAAACTTGTAATCATCCTGTCTCAGCCTCCAAAGTACTGGGATTACAGGTGTGCACCACTGTGCCCAGCTTGTATTTTATTTTATTTGCAGTAGCTAAGAATCAAACTGAGACTCAATGCAGCCGAGGCAAACACTTTACCACTGAGCTATACCTCTAGTTCCTTTTGTTCTGCATCCTCCTAGTACTTCTGATGATTAGCCTGGTTTGAGAACTGCTGGAGTCTATCACTGCTAAGATCCTTTTTAAATAACAGGGTTTTTTGCACACTCAGCATTGTGCTAAATATTTTGTGCACATTCCATCCTTGATTTGTTTTTGTTGCAGTTGAGACAGGTCTCACTATGAACTCACTATATGAACTCACTGTATGTAGCCCAGGCTGGCCTCAAACCTAGTGATCCTCCTACCTCCGCCTCCCAAATGCTAGGGTCGAAGGTGTGCGCCACCACACCCAGCCTTCCATTCATGATGTTAACAATCCTCTGAGGAGTTACAATATTAGTATTCCCATTTTATCCACAAGAAAACACAGAGATTAAATCATTTGCCTAGAGTCTCTTGGTCGGATCTGAAATCTAGGAGAAAGTTCAAAGCCCATGAGCCTCACTATGCTATACAGTCCCTTCCAAACCCAGAGTCTGTCTCCCTCTAAACACACTTTTCCAACCACATACATATTTCATGGTACATTTCCAAGGACATCCAGGCTCTGACAATATAAATATCATCTCTAATTGTAGTATATCATTATCATAGAACACCATGTAGTCATTAAAAATGATGCAGTCTATATTCGCTAACAAGGGAAAATAGCCACAAAGCAGTTAAGTGAAAAATCAAATTACAACGAAGTGTGCCACACCCATTTTTATAGATAGGACGAATCCAATATGGACTGGAATAAAGCCAAGCCATTATCTTTAGGTGAGGGTTGAATGTAATGTTCACTTCTGAGGTTACTTTGAAATGGTCAGGGTTCTGACAAGCATTTGACACACTGCTTTGGAAGACCATGCCAAATGACAGGAAACTGGGGCCACAGCTCAAGGTGGAGTAAGTCTGTCCAATAGCTTTGGAGGCCTTGGATTTGACATGCAGAGAGGAAGCATGCAAATATGGACATGACCACAAGGAGGCAGTCGAGACCCAACCGTGACTCTAAGTATAGGACATTCCCCCAAGCAGGAGCTACACCCAGTTAATGTCTGGCTCCATGCAGAACACAGAGGCAAGTTCTAGGCTCACATCATGGCTCTGTCGTCTGTTACCTAAGGGGTTGCCATATACATGTCTGTTCTCATCTGGAACCTCTTTCCCTATCTAAATGAGAGGCAGGACACCCACAGGGCCACAGGAGGATGCCCTAGGCAAATCCAGGGGTAGCACTGAGACAGAGCCCGCTCCTCAGCCTCCCTCACCAACTGCCCAGTTGACTGAAGCTGCTGCTGGAGCTATGGCCAAGGTGTGACCAAGGATCCTATCCTCAGGGCTCCTGGCCTCCAGGCAGGGAATGTTCATGATTTACCTGGTGAAAGTTTCACCTGGTGAAAGTAAGGGTTTGGTTTCACTACTTGGACCACTAGGTTGTCCAACCACCAAGAAATGACACTAGCACAGGTGAAAATAATGGCGAACTTTATTGGCATAAATCACAGGAATTGAAATGGAAAAAGCCAGGTTAGAAATTTATGGAGAAAAAATCAAAATCAAATAACCATTAACCCAGTGAGTGGACCCCAGAAGCCCCACAGGCCCCTTGGGGAGAGGCCTGGGGTGGGTCACTGTAAACAGAGCAATAAGGCCTATGGGTAGAAGTGGAAATGGCAGAACTCTGGGGGGCCAGCCCAGGCTGACCTCCCCAGACCTGGGCTGCTCCCAGCCCAACCTGAAAGGAGGAGGCTGGTGGGATGGTCTAGATGCATCACTGTAGAGGGGTCTCTTTCCCCTGGGCAGGAACCCCAGGCCTGGCTGCTCCTATTTCATCTCGAGAGCGCTCTGGGGCTTCTGGCTGCTCCAGGAGGATCCTGTCCTTCTGTCCAGAATTCTACCAGGCCCCTTACACCAAGCTGGACCCTTCACCCCAGACCTCCTGAGCATCAGCCCCACCTGATAGGAGGAACCTGAGCCCAGTCTCTGGGGAGGGCAGGAAATCTGAGGAAGTAGTGCCCCAGTGGAATCAAGACCAAAGAGACCTGTATGGTCTTCGTGCTCAAAGTCAGATCCCAGCTTTCCTGAGAAGACAGAAGGAGCCCCAAAGAAGCAGTGAGGAGGCTAAGAATGTCCAGTGAGTTCTCTGTTGCCAAAAAGTTCACTGGGGAGCAGAGGCTCCTAATGGCTTTCTCAGACAGGAAGCAGTCCCCCTAAAGCATGCTTTCCCTTTCTCCTCCCTCAGGAACAGGGCAGATGAGGTTCAGAATTCCAGGTCCAAAAGGGCCAGGCACCCTTAG